GCAAATCGGCGCACCAGGGCGGGGGCTCGGCTTGGGCCGCCCTGGGCCGTGGGGTGCCGGGGGGCTGCCAAGGCGGGGGGGGGGTGAGTCGGCTGGGGGTCCGAGGTGGCCCAGAACTGCCTCCGACCGGCAGGGACGAGCCGATGGCGTTCGAAGTTCGGGGCTCGAGCAGGTGTTCTCCCTCGTTCGGCCGCCGCGGGGCCATGTCCGTGCCCCGGGGCCACCCGTTCGCCCCTCTTCTGGCCGCCAGGGGGGCCACTTTCGGGCCCCAGGACGGTCAAGAGCGGATCCAGCGTGAAAGAACAGCACCGGACCCCAGGAGGGCTCTGCAGGATGGGGGCCGAGTTTGAGCGGATTTGCCCTCAGCTCTTTTTCTGACCGACTTTTCTCGAGGGTCGCGTTCAACCCCCCCGGCCGCCTCCGAGACTGGGGGTGGATGGCCATCTCTGGGCGGGGCTGCGGTGTCTCCCCGGATCCCATGGCCCCGCCACTCATTTCAGTGCGTTCCTTGGTCCCCCCCCATCCGCTCTCGTGCCCCGGCCCACGTCTTGCTGACCCCCCTTCTTCGACGAGACGTAACGAGTGACCTTTCGCCGGAGTGACCTTTGGTGCGGGCCCAATGGGGCCCCCCGATCGCCGATCTCGAGGCGGCAGTTGCGTCGTGCGCGCCTGTGTTTGGCCACCTCGCGGCCCCCAAAAAGCCGCGCACCAAAGGTCACTCTTGCCCAGGGTCACTCCTGCGTGTAGCCGACCAGGGTGCCCCTTCCCGGGAGGCCCCCGGGGGCGGTGCACGCCACGGCCTCTCAGAGCGGGGTCCGAGCAGGGGGGGCCAGAGGCTCGTGCCGCGTCGCCGATGCATCGGGCGATGCGGCTCGATGTGGAGCCCGATGTTCTCCTCGCTGGTGGCGCCGAGGCATCGCCGACGCTGCCAATGCATCGCCGATGCATCGGCGATGGGGCGCGATCCTGCGACCCCGATCTGCTCGGAGCCCGTCTGGGAGGCTCTGTCGAAGAAGGAACCGGCCTTCCAGCTGGTGCCCCAGGGAAGTCCTCCAGCATCCCCCGATGGCCTTGGGGGCACACGGAGTGCCTGGCACCACTGGAGGAAGGCCGGGCATCGGCGAGACGTGTGCCGCACAGCTCGCGGACGATGCTCGTCATCGGTTGCATCCGCTGCACGGGCCCTCCTGGCTCTGGCCAGGAGCCGAATGATGGCTCGCCGCACGAGCACGAGCTTCCAGGGTGCCGAGGCGCCGAGGGAGCTCCGGGCTGCTGCCCGGGGGGGGGGGGGGCCCGTGGAGGCCCGCCAGGGCTGCCTGGAGGGGGGGTCTGCCCGTCCAGCCCGAAGCCTCGTCACCTCCCCTCGCTTCGCGAAGAGCTCGTGCCGGGATCGCCGCGGGGGGTGCTGAGTGGACAGGGGGGTCACAAGTGGATGCCAGGGAGGGTGATGTCTGCCCCCACCTGGCTTGTGAGTGCGCCAACAATTACCGGTGGCCTAGAGGGTTCAGATTGCTCCGCTATGTGGGCGGAGCACACTTCGCCCAGATCGTTAACCCCCGTAAGCTACTTGGGGCCGCTGTAGCCCACTGATAAGCCAGGGTGGGCCAGAGATAACCCAGCTTGGCATCCACTTGTAACCCCCCTTAGCCACTTAAAACTCCCCACGGGCATCCCAGAAGTAATAACATAACGCTGCAGAAACATAGTCTGCCAGAGGTCCGCGCGGCTTTCTCGGTCCTGCGCTGGAGCTCCTTCCTTGGCGTGTGACCCGCGCCAGGGGCGGCACCGCAGGCGCTGTCAGGGGGTCCAGCTCTGACCCAAGAGACCTGCGCGGATCTCCGGCAGGATATGCGAAAGCACATATTCTTGCTTGCGCGTCTAAGAGGAGGGCGTCGTGCCCGGGGACCAGGAGGGCCCTGGCCGGGCACCTTGGTGGTGGTGTGCAGGATGCCGCCCTGCGCTCGCTGCGATCGACATGGGGACGGGCAGAATTGGCACGAAGGCCGACAGCAGATTATGTCCATTTGAACGGGATTCGCTGCCGGCGTCTCCGCGGACGATATCCCTTGGAGACAGAAGATCGCCTGCCCGACAGCGGCCGCTGTCGCCTATGGACAGCACATCTTCGTTGGGAAGCGTGCCCGTTGTTTTTTTCGTGCCCGTGTCGGGGGTCCGAATGCGCAGGTCCACCGCGACTCGCCCACGGGCTTCCTGGAGCAGGCCGGCATCGGTCGCTTCTCGATGTGCTTCAACGACGGCAGCGACGGGGTCCTGCGGATCGGCGAGCCGCCTTTGCAGCAGAGCCACGGCGGCATGGGCACCGAGCACTGGGGCGTGGACTTCCGGGGCGTCTCGGCGGGGAGCCCTCCTCCTCCGCCTCCTCCTCCGCCTCCTCCTCCGCCTCCTCCTCCGCCTCCTCCTCCTCCTCCTCACCCTCCCCCTCCTCCCCCCTCCTCCTCCGAGGGCAGAAGTAGGAGGACCATGACCAAGATGTCGCGGGATCTTGTCGACGCCGATCTTGGTCGCGGTCCCTGCTGGCCGCCGCCACTTCGCGGGGAGGACCCACGAGGTGACGACGGCCAAGGTGGACGACGACCAGGATCGGCACCGACGCTTCCGTGTTCGGTCTCTGACACGGTCCTCGTGTTCCTCACCACCCACCAAACCACCCCAACCCAACCCGAAGGCCCAAATTTACCCTCGATTTCCAGTGGGGGGGGGTTGGGAAACATCGAAAAAACACATGTGGAACCCTTACCCCCCCCAACCCGAAATTCGGGTCTTCGGGTTGGGTTGGGGTGGTCTGGTAGGTAGTCAGTTCCTTCGCTCTAGGTGGGGAGCCACGCAGCGGGGGACGTGCTCTTCTGCCACGGCGAGAACATGACGGAGGATCAGAGGCCCCGGGCGCTCCAGAGATGGCTGGAGGAGGAGGAGGAGGAGGAGGAGGAGGAGGAGGAGGAGGAGGAGGAGGAGGAGGAGGAGGAGGAGGAGGAGGAGGAGGAGGAGGACCACTTCTCCCTGGGGGCGACGCCCCTCACGGGGCGGCCGGGCGCGGGCATGCCCTCCCGCCCCCCTCCAGGGTCCGCTTCGATCCGGTCGAGCCGATTCGATGCCGATATCGACCAGCCAGAGATCCGATTCGATGCAGGGGTTCCAGAGGTCCGATGCGGCCCGACGCTCGCATTGCGCCACTGTGCATCGGGGCAAGGTGGATCTAAGGCGATTCCGACGCCGTGCCGATGACGCCCGATCTCAAGGAGTGGCGTGGCGTCCAGGTTTGCTCATAGGCCTACCAAATACTAGCTGGCCGCTCTGCGGTTGATCGGGAGTTTCTGTGTATAGAAGAAGGGGCGTGCGTTTCTTGGCGAGAGGAGAAAGACCGAGAGGAGAATGAACGCACGGATCAGGAGGACGAGGCTCGCGAGGGGGAGGATCAGGAGAGTGAGGGTCACGCGAGTGAGGATCAGTCGAGCGTGGAGCAGGAAGGTGAGGATGTGGTGAATGAGGGCTAGGAGAGCTAGGACGAGGAGAATGAAGATCAGCAGGGTGAGGATCGGGCGAGTGTGGAGCAGGAGTTTGAGGATCAGCAGAGTGAGGATTGGCAGAGTGAGCATCACGAGAAGAGCGAGGATCAGGATAATGAGAATGAGCATGAGCAAGGTGAGGATCAGGATCGTGAGGCAGGAGGGTGAGGGTGTGGAGAGCGAGAATCAGGAGAGTGAGTCATTATCATGATTGGGAATGCCTCGAGTGACAGCCCTGCTGGGATACGCCCGGCGCGCGCCCCGGAAATGGCCCCTGCAGGGGCGCGGTTGGGCCTGACCTACGACACGCCCAGCGCGCGCCCTGGAAATGGTCCATTTCGGCGCAGGTCGTGCGCCGGGGATCGACTTTGCGAGGATGTCTTGAGCGATCGAGAGCCCTGCTGGGACACGCCTGGCGCGCGCCCCGGTCCTGGTCCTTGGGGGCGGGGTCCCTGCAAGTCGCATCTGAACATAAGAAATGCGTTTAGATGCGATCGCGCCCTGGTGCAGGCGAAGAAGCCTATCGTATCTAGTTCTGTTCCCAACCCTCCTTGGTTGGGTATTCGTTTTGAACAAGGGACTGTGGTCTCCGCCTTCCTTCCTCCCGCCTCCCTCCCTCCTCCTGCGTCCTGCTTCCTGCTTTATTCCCAACCCTCCTTGGTTGGGTATTCGTTTTGAATAGATCACTGCTCGCGCGTCTCCTCCCGCCTCCCTCCTGCCTCCTGCCTGCCTCCTCCTGTCTTGCCTGCGGGGGGCTGCGATCTGTGAAACTGTCGTCACTTTCGAGGCCTGCTGGGGGGCCCAGCACAGTGACGCCACGCGCGGACCCAAATCAGACCTCGCCATCCCTGGGGGATTGCGATCTGCGAAACTGTCGCCACTTTCGAGGCCTGCTGGTGGGTCCAGCGGAGTGAGGCACCGCGCGGATCTGAGCAAGACCTCGCCGTGCCTGGGGGGCTGCGACCTGCGAAACTGTCGCCACTTTCGAGGGCTGCTGGTGGGTCCAGCGGAGTGAGGCACCGCGCGGATCTGAGCAAGACCTCGCCGTGCCTGGGGAGGCTGCGATCTGCGAAACCGTCGCGACTTTCGAGGGCTGCTGGTGGGTCCAGCGGAGTGAGGCACCGCGCGGATCTGAGCAAGCCTCGTCATGCTTGGGGGGCTGCGATCTGCGAAACCGTCGCTACTTTCGAGGGCTGCTGGTGGGTCCAGCGGAGTGAGGCACCGCGCGGATCTGAGCAAGACCTCGCCGTGCCTGGGGGGGCTGCGATCTGCGAAACTGTCGCCACTTTCGAGGGCCGCTGGTGGGTCCAGCGGAACCGCGCGGATCTGAGCAAGACCTCGCCGTGCCTGGGGGGCTGCGATCTGCGAAACTGTCGCCACTTTCGAGGGCTGCTGGTGGGTCCAGCGGAGTGAGGCACCGCGCGGATCTGAGCAAGACCTCGCCGTGCCTGGGGGGCTGCGATCTGCTCGCCACTTTCGAGTCGCGCGGATCTGAGCAACGCTGCGATCTGCGAAACTGTCGCCACTTCGAGGGCTGCTGGTGGGTCCAGCGGAGTGAGGCACCGCGCGGATCTGAGCAAGACCTCGCCGTGCCTGGGGGGCTGCGATCTGCGAAACTGTCGCCACTTTCGAGGGCTGCTGGTGGGTCCAGCGTGAACCGCGCGGATCTGAGCAAGACCTCGCCGCGCCTGGGGGGCTGCGATCTGCGAAACTGTCGCCACTTTCGAGGGCTGCTGGTGGGTCCAGCGGAGTGAGGCACCGCGCGGATCTGAGCAAGACCTCGCCGTGCCTGGGGGGCTGCGATCTGCGAAACTGTCGCCACTTTCGAGGGCTGCTGGTGGGTCCAGCGGAACCGCGCGGATCTGAGCAATCCTCGCCATGCTTGTGGGGCTGCGATCTGCGAAACTGTCGCCACTTTCGAGGGCAGCTGGTGGGTCCAGCGGAGTGAGGCACCGCGCGGATCTGAGCAAGACCTCGCCGTGCCTGGGGGACTGCGATCTGCGAAACTGTCGCTACTTTCAAAGGCTGGTGGCGGGTCCAGCGGAGTGAGGCACCACGCAGATCTTAACGGGACCTCGCAATCCTTGAAGAGTTGCGAGTCTCACGAATGCCGCTTGCAGAAATATATGATCCCATGTCACCTCATAATTTCCGTATAACGTCTCCCAAGTTATTCATGCCCCGCACTGCGCAAGGGTAGGGTACGTCGCCAGGGTAATTGTTAGATGCGCGCCCCCGGCCTGCGCGGGAGCGCCAATGTTTCAAACATGTATAAAACATTGGGACCGTATCTGTTTTCGTCAAGAAAACATATATATATATATATATATATGATTGGAGATGATTCCAGTACAAACAATATGTTGAATTAATTTGTTTATTTAAGTGAGTGTAATTAAACCGTATGAATAAATAAAATTAATAAAATTAATTGAATTATTTTAACTATTGAATTAATCTGAATACAATAAATAAAGTAGATAAAATAATTGAATTAATTCAATCAGTTTTATTTATTTTATTTAGTTTATTTATTTTATGTATTTGTCTGGCCTCCCTGGAGGAAATCCTGGGGACCCTCATCCGCAGCCGAATTAATTTAATTAATTTAATTAATCCGTCTGAATTAATTTAATTAATCAAAATAGTTAAATTAATTCGGCGGCCTAAGCCCGGCGCGGCCTGTGTGAGGAGGCCAGAAAGATAAACAAAATAAATGAAATAAATAACATAAAAAATTAATTGGATTGATTTAATTATTTAATTAACCTGAATACAATAATTAAAATAAATAAAACAATTAAATCAATTCAATCAATTGTATTTTTTCTATTGATTTTAGTTGTTTTATGTATTGTATTTATTTTTCTGGCCTCCCTGGAGGAGATCCTGGGGACCCTCATCCGCAGCCGAATTAATCTAATTAATTTAACTAACCCGTATGGATTAATTTAATTAATTAAAAGAATTGAACTAATTCGGCGGCCTGAGCCCGGCGCGGCCTGTGTGAGGAGGCCAGAAATAAAATAAATAAATGAAATGAAATAAATCAAATAAATAAAATGAATTGAATTAATTGAATTATTTAATTAATCTGGATAGAATAAATAAACTAATCAAATGTTTCAAGTCGTTTCATTTATTTTGTTTAATCTATTTACCTTATTTATTTTTCTGGCCTCCCTGGAGGAGATCCTGGGGACCTTCATCCGCAGCCGAATTAATTTAATTAATTTAATTAATACGTATGGAACAATTAAATAAATTTAAATAATTAAATTAACTCGGCGGCCTGAGCCCGGCGCGGCCTGTGTGAGGAGGCGTGAAAACATAAAATACTTAAATACATAAAATAATTATCATCTATAAAATTAATTGAATTAATTTGAGTATTTAATTAATCTGAATACAATACATAAAATGAATAAACTTATCAAATTACTTGTTCATTAATTTTATGTATTTTATATATTATTTTATTCAATTTATTAATTTTTCTGGCCTCCCTGGAGGAGACCCTGGGAATCCTCATCCGCAGCCCAATTAATCTAATTAAGTTAATTCATCCGTATGGGTTGATTCAATTAATTGAAATAATTAAATTAATTCGGCGGCCTGAGTCCGGCGCGGCCTGTGTGAGGAGGCCAGACAAATAAACAAAATAAATAAAATAAATTGAATTAATTTAAGTAATACATTAGTCTGAATACAATATATAAAATTAAAAAAAAAAAAAATAAATAAAGTAAAAAATAATTAAATTAATTCAATTCTACTTATTTTATTTATTGTATGTATTTTATTTATTTTTCTGGCCTCCCTGGAGGAAATCCTGGGGACCCTCATCCGCAGCCGAATTAATTTAATTAATCTAAGTAGTCCGTCTGGCTTAATTAAATTAATCAAAATAATTGAAACAATTCGGCGGCCTAAGCCCGGCGCGGCCTGTGTGAGGAGGCCAGAAAGATAAATAACATTAAAAAGTAAATAAAATGAATTGAATTAAATTAATTATGTAATTAATCTGAATCCAATAAATGGAATAAATAAAATTAATACATGAATTCAAGTAATTCTATTTATTTTATGTATTTTATTCATGCCATGTTATTTAATTATTTTTCTGGCCTCCCTGGAGGAGATCCTGGGGGCCCTCGTCCGCAGCCGGATTAATTCGATTAATTTAACCATTCCGTATGTATTAATTAAACTAATTAAAATAATTAAAATAATTCGGCGGCCTGAGCCCGGCGCGGCCTGTGTGAGGAGGCCAGAAAATATAATCTTCCAAATACATAAAATAAATAAATCAGTTGAATTAATTGAACTTATTCAATTAATCTGGATATAATAAATAAGATAATTAAAGTAAT